ACATGGATGAATTCCTGAACGATAACCCGGATTATCTCAGCGATTATGTGCTGAATAACGTGTCCACTGAACAGATTGAGAGATGGCTTATACGCAAGAATCGTAACAAAAAGTCAAGCCTTTCCCGATATAAAGTAAGTGTTAATTATCATTGCTCACTTGACAGCTACTTATTATATATCAATAACTATTGATATCCAGGCTAACCTAGTTATATCTGACCTTTAGAAACTTGCTAAAATATCTTTTGCTAATAAACATATCTGTTTGCTACACACTAAGCTATTTATTATTAACTAGCATGCGATAGCCATGACAGTAATTTAAGCAAATATGCAACTCTTAGCACCTTAAGCAACCTTGATGCTATGTAATAAAATTCTGATTAATTCATAGTCAATATCCAGGTTCATATGAATGTCCAAAATATTCTTTATACGGAATGTATGTGTGTTTGTGTGCCATATGTGCAGTGCGAGTGAGATATGGCACATAAGAATATACAGAATATTCTGTATATAAGAATATAATATAAACACATATTTTCATAAATATTTAATTAATCGCCTAAACAGTGCGTTAATGTTTATATATACCGAAAATTCACCGCATATTTAGTCAGTATTTAATATATACCAGCGACTTGTCATTGAATATATAGGGTATCGATGCTCGCATATCGGTCGTAAAGTGTATTTTCGTATTAATAATAAGTATTGTGTGTTTACTATGAAAATTGTTTGTTCATTATTTTTATGCAGATTTATGTGATAGTAGATAATAAAAGTTCATGCGGTTAATATAATTGCAAACAATATTTGCTAGATTTTTATGTAAGATTTTTAGATTTTAATTAAACTTTTTTGTATACATGTGTGTGTGTGTGTGCTCAAATTCAAATAGCATACAAGTATTATCTGAAATTAAGCGACCTTAGCACAATAATTTGCGCAAAAATGAATTAATCATACACAACAAAATTTCGCAACAAACATTAATCTAATACACTTAATAATAAAGAATATTCCGTGGAAATTACATATAATCAGCATAATATTCTCTATATGTCCCATTACTATAATTAGCTTATAATTTCGCAAAAACATGCTTTAATAATTCTGTGATTTATTATAATTGCACCATTAAATAATTCATGCGAATACGGTATAATAATCTGGAAATATTTTTATTTTATTTTTTGTCCCTCATAGTTTTGCGTGCACGCGGATAAGCGCAAAATGCTCCAGTCCCTCACCAACATGTTGAGCCAGGACACGCCCCAACGGACGTACGTACTGAACGAACTGTCCGCTACCATAGCGTCGGCCGTTAACGCCAGCCATTGGCACCTATTCCTCATCGACTGGATCTCCCAAAGCGAACAGGTATTTGAAGTTTTGCTTATAAGTAAGGGGTCGTGCAATACGTACGTGACGTTCATTAGCGAGATATTTGCACTTAAGATAATATTGAAATTTATTCATTTATATTAAAGTAAATGATTTTATTACAGTATTATACTATAATGCATTAATACATATTTTATAGTAATATATAAACAGTAAAATGGGATAATAAGAATTTATATTTTAAATATATATTAATGGCATGGATACAGTAGCACCAATTATGAAATATTGTATATAATTAATTTTTAAAGTAAGGTTATTTGTTCATGAGACTATTTATGATAAAAATATATAATATTTTTTCAAAAAGTTATAACTTAATGAAAATTATTTATCTGACTTTTATGAACGACCCTTATATATGACATTTTAATTTGTATTTATAATCTGTATTTCACATCATAAGTATCGCATATTTTAAATGAGAAATGTATTTAATACGAAAATATGTATATAACAAAAATATTTATGCAGAATATTCTGTGAGGCCTATTATACCATTTGACACATGGATGTACGTCATAGGCATACCTCTCGTATACGTATATCTCTATTATAAATGCTATGCAAAAACATCATAAATATAATATACATTTTAATGCCCAACCCTTTTGAGACAGGCATACAATAATACAATGTTTAATCAATACCATACAATGAATTGTTTTTAATTTATACAGGCGCATTTACAAAGTATTATTACTACATTTAGCTTATGGTAATAATTTTTAGTATAAATATTTATTTTATATCAGCTATATTTAGTAATTATTTTTTAAGAATTTCCAACAAAATAATCTTGTTTATATCACTAATTCTCATAATATTATCAGGCTAACATTTTTCTATACACACTGTACACGTGTGGTTTATTAGTTACAGTATTTTTCTCATTCAATATTAGATATCATTTTTTTGTTATTACATCAAAAAATATAATAAAAACCAATGAATAGTATATTTATATTGAATACAGAATTTATTAATAAATATCCGAAACTATAATTCAATTGAATTCTGTGGCATTAAAAAGGTATACATTTCTCAGACATAGAAATATATGATTACATAAAACTATATAAACAAGCCTTTAATAAATAACTAGCCAGTGCTATTGACAGGCTAATGTATTATTTAGTGTAAATGATCTACGTTTTTTTGTTAACCCTACTTAAGCACCTACACGTGTGCTAACTTATTTACTTAACGTATGGGTGCCAGTAAACTTAATAATAACGAAAACATTTATGCAATATACTGTACTTGAAATAAATAGTTTTTTAATTATGTGAGTGTACTGTACAAGTATTTATATGTCTGCTAAATAGGGACTATTATTTATTTGACCAGGTCAAATCAATTAATTATCATACCACAAAGCAGTGGACAATTATTTAAAGCTTTTGAATTAATTAAATTACAAATTAGCTTACTTGTTAACTGAATATAGCACAAATGTAAGTTATAAACATTTGTTTCTATTAAATTTGATCATATAAAAAAAGTATTATTGTAATATTATAGTTTCATATATATGCGAGCATATTACAATAATCATAATTTATGCATAATCTAATTGAATATAAATGTCAAAATTTTTTAGTAATATTGAATATTTTTAGGTTACAATCATTTTGTGACGTACTGTATAAACTATTATATAATACTTACTTAATGTGCATACTATTAGTATCATGTGTTTTTTGTGTTTGCCAATTGACTTATACATTGGCAGTAATACCAGTGCCTATCACTTCCGTATTATATACTGTGTATTGACGTTACACTAAATAATAGGTCGGAGCCGATAGAGAATAATAAAAATTTTATTTACAGTTCAGATGAATAACTTAATACAATAGACGTGAGCGCCGGATATCAATAGACATATAATGACAGCGAACGAGAGAGAGAGAGAGAGAGAGAGATTTATAGCCTTTTTGTTTAATTAATTTTTATTTACTTCAGGTTTTCCATTGAATTGCATTAACAGTCAATATCTGTACAAAAGGAGCAATAAATTGCAATTATGTATACTATACACTCAATTAACATTGTTTACACAATTTTAGTTATGTGGTCAGAAATATAATATATTATACAATAAATTACTCTATTTATCGTACACACACACACACACTCAATATAAACAGACCTAGATAAACATCTAGATTCTAGATAGAGAAAGTATATATTAATGTAATTTAATTAGAAATTATTTTGCAATACCTGTATATACATTATAATAACTATCTAGTTTAATATTTTACAAAATAGATTAATAACTTGTTTTTTAATAACTATTTAAAATATATCTTAAATTTATCACGTTAATATGAGATGTTTTAAAAATAGGTTAAAGTTATCTAGTTCATAAAGTACTCACATTAATTAATCGTACTATTTTTTTATCATAATATGTTTTCACAGAATATTCTGTGAAAATAAACATTAATTTCTATACTAACGACTAGTATTGCGCTGAATATTAGCCTAAAAAATATTACATTTGAAAATACATTTTACATTAAATACAATAACATGTGATACATACATAAATTTATAATAAAAACAAAATAAATGACTAAAAACTTCAATTATATGGTGAACATGGAAATAAAATACTCATTAATTTAATTGAGAAACAAAAAAAAATATTATATACGATACAAAAACATCATAAACTAAATGAAATTTATTTTGTATTATATTTCCAAAAAATAACTTTAGGTCTGATTTTTATAATTGATTTTAAAAATTAATGCATAATATGGTGTGTGTTATGGTAATTAATTATAGGACCTTGACATTTGTCAAATTTATAACAAAATCACTTTCAATATAATTCTGTATAGTTTAATAAATTCATGCTAATTAATCTTGATAATAAATTTACGGTAGGCATATGTTAAATATTGCATGTTGCTTTCGCAATGAATTTCATTAATTATTAAAATACACTGGTGATAAATATAAATTAAAGTTTTGTTTTTTATCTTATTTATTGTACCCGGAACAAACACCACCAGGATAGTAACCAGTTCGAGAATATTAGCCGTTTGGCGCACCATAGAAACGTGGACAATACGGACATGACCCTGGCACTTTATGTATCCAAGTTCAAAAAAGCTATTACCTGTTGTGTCGATGAATACGTAAGTATTATATAAATTAGTTTTTTACAAACTGCAATTTTATTTTCTAATATAATTTTATATAATATTTTTTTTTATATTTTACAAATATAATTTTAATTATTAGTGGTGATATTCGCTGTAATGTTTATAAATTAATTTTTATAAACTGCAATCTTATTTTCAAATATTTTATATATTTTATACAAAATTTAATTTTACTTATTAGTGGAAAAATTACCAAAAATATTTATAATTTAATTTTAAAAACCCCAATTTAATTTTCATAAATTTTATAAATTCACAATTTTAGTTGTAAATAAATGTGTAACCAGTATATTTTATAAATAAATCCTTTAAAAACTGTAATTTTATTTTCTAATATTTTAATTATTTTATAAATACATAATTTTACTTATTATTGGCCACGTTTGCTACAAAATATTCATTAGATTTTTGAAACATATTTTAGAAACATAATTTTTAAAAGTTAATTAAATTAAATAAGTTTTTATTAAAAAATATTAAATTTTAAATCATCACATTTATATTTACAACCTACAGGATAGCCGTTTCCCAAATGGTGTACCCAAGGCTCCCCAGTGCACCTCATTCGCCATGGCGCTGCCTATTGTGCAGTCGGACAATACCATAATTGGTATGGGTACTTATTCTAACCCTGCTCATAAATAAAAACTAATTTCTAAACACATTCCTTAAGGGGTACTCGAGTTATACCGTAAGAAAGGGTCGCCATATTTCTTCGAGGAGGACGAGGAGGTTCAGTATACTCGTAATTGCTAGTATGATCTTGATGATTTATGTATTTTTTCATCATGCTCATAAATAATAATTAAAGTAATTAATATATTTATACGTATAATCTAATGGAGTAATTAGTTTAGTAGCAAAAAAAGGTTTGCGGTTTAAATATATTTTATGCAAATATACGGAATATATTACAGTCTATAATAGGTGTATGTACAAAAATATAATAATAATCCTGATCCTAATGAACCCTGTTATATTATGTATAAACTCATTTATATGGTTAAGCTAATAGTTTGATTAATATATATTCTTAGGTAGGTGCTAATTTAGTAAATATAAGAAATATTATTTATTTATTTTATGGTGAGGGTTAGGTGGTATAGGGAACGGTAGTTATGGGGTAATCATAATTATGCTAATATTAGATGAATACGTAATTCGTGTGACAATTACCTGACGACTGACAGCAAAAATGTATTTAACTTTCTTTGTTGCGATAGATTGTAGTATAGCTATGGATGGGAGAAAAATATTCAACAAAATCATTAGTACCTTGCTTATAAAAAAATGTAATATATTATAGCATGAATATACAATAATTATTTTTAAAGTAATATTTTAAGAATCTTATTTTTTTAGTTTTACAAAATAGAGAGCAATTATAATAAATGCCAAAAATATAAGTTTTGTATTTAAATAATTTGTTAGATTTTACTTTACTTTCAATTTACAGTATATAAAAATTTATATGAAATTAAATTTAAAAATAATTTGGGGAGTTTAAGCCAAATTATATTTTTTAAAACATTATTATTTAGCAAAAAATATTTGAATTATTAAATTACTGTTTTTAGTGTAGATTATTAATAATAGTATAACAAAATTAGAAATAATTTTCAAGTTTAGATAGTATTGTGAAAAAGTGCTTTTAAATATTATGTAATAAATTATAATTATCCAAAATTAACACAATCTTTTATCTAATTAATAATTTCAAAATTAAAACAAATATATTTACTGTTTTTAATAATATATAAGTGTTATTTAATAATCAGATTTATGCTAAAAATAAACAAACTCAATAATTATAATCAAATTTTGTGAATCAAAATGTTTATGCAACAAAAAAATCACAATACATCTCATAATAAAAAAAATCATACGTTTTACGACATTATAATAATCAATAAAAACCATTAACAAAACACTCATAAAAATTAATGACTTTTAATAAAAACACATCAAAAACAATGTAGACCTACACACTAGCACCCTATAACCCCCATGTCATACTTAATCACTAAAAGCTACCTGTGCCGTGAACGCGCATACACCCATAATTTATTAGTAATTAAAAAAGTCTATGACACATACAATAGGGTGTATGACGTACACCACGTGTCAATTAATTCATATATACATGAAAAGTATAATACAATTATTATTATAATGATTATTATTACATACCTCAGCGTAATGTAGTGCCACTCCACCCCACACTAGATAACTGTTGGCAATCTATTTACGAGCATGATGAAAAAATACATAAATCACCAAGATCACACTAACAATTACAAGTATACTGAACCTCCTCGTCCTCCTCGAAGAAATACGGCGACCCTTTCTTACGGTATAACTCGAGTACCCCTTAAGGAATGTGTTTAGAAATTAGTTTATATTTATGAGCAGGGTTAGAATAAGTACCCATACCAATTATGGTATTGTCCGACTGCACAATAGGCAGCGCCATAGCGAATGAGGTGCACTGGGGAGCCTTGGGTACACCATTTGGGAAACGGCTATCCTGTGGGCGTCCATGTAAATTATAATCATTTAAAATTTAGTATATTTTTTAATAAACATTTATCTAGTTTAAATAAATTTTGCAAAAAATTATAACCGTGGTTGTTTAAAAATTAAATTAATAATAGTGGTTTCATTGGTCCACTAACAATTAAAATTAAATTTTTATAAAGTATATAAAATTTTTTGAAAATAAAATTTACAGTTTTTAAAAATTAATTTATAATACTTACGTATTCATCGACACAACAGGTAATAGCCTTTTTGAACTTGGACACATAAAGTGCCAGGGTCATGTCCGTATTGTCCACGTTTCTATGGTGCGCCAAACGGCTAATATTCTCGAACTGGTTACTATCCTGGTGGTGTTTGTTCCGGGTACAATAAATAAGATAAAAAATAAAACTTTAATTTATATTTATCACCAGTGTATTTTGAATAATTAATGAAATTCATTGCGAAAACAGCATGCAATATTTAACACATGCCTACCGTAAATTTATTATCAAGATTAATTATCGTGAAATTATTAAACTATACGGTATTATATTGAAAGTGATTTTGTTATAAATTTTACAAATGTCAAGGTCCTATAATTAATTACCATAACACACACCATATTATGCATTAATTTTTAAAATCAATTATTAACATCAGACTTATAGTTATTGTTTTTGTTTGAAATATAATACAAAATAAATTTCATTTAGTTTATGGTGTTTTTGTATCGTATATAATATTTTTTATTTGTTTCTCAATTAAATTAATGAATATTTTATTTCCATGTTCACCATATAATTGAAGTTTTTAGTCATTTATTTTGTTTTTATTATAAAATGTATGTATCACATGTTATTGTATTTAATGTAAAATGTATTTTTCAAATGTAATATTTTTTAGGCTAATATTCAGTTCAATACTAGTCGTTAGTATAGAAATTAATGTTTGTTTTCACAGAATATTCTGTGAAAACATATTATGATAAAAAATAGTACGAATAATAAATGTGAGTACTTTATGAACTAGATAACTTTAACCTATTTTTAAAACATCTCATATTAACGCGATAAATTTAAGATATATTTTAAAAATAGATTTAAATAGTTATTAAAAAACAAGTTATTAATCTATTTTGTAAAATATTAAATTAGATAGTTATTATAATGTATATACAGGTATTGCAAAATAATTTCTAATTGAATTACATTAATATATACTTTCTCTATCTAGAATCTAGATGTTTATCTAGGTCTGTTTATATTGAATCACACACACACACACATGCTATTTATCTCATTAAATAACATATTATATAATATAAAGACTGGTGTATTGATTTTAACACATTTGTTACAATTAACTCACATATCATATGTATTAACGTTAAATAACGAG